TGTGTAGTTTAGGCCCTTTTGGTTACTTGTCAATGACATCTGATCGTTATGTCCCCAAAAATCATCAACTGCCTCCTGCGAAATGCCGTGTACTGTGACACCTGCCATAGCACTGGTCACTGAATGTTGATAGTTTTTTGTCGGAGTGAGTGGAGGGGGACGTGGCTTAGCCATAGGTCAATTAGAACAATAGAGAGAGTTGAAAATGTAATTATGCTCTTGTTTGTCATATTAAACCACCATAAATACAAACAAGGAAAATAAATATATTACCACACTTGAGGTGTGCCACAGAGCCCTCGCAGGCAGCAAAGTGAACTGTCCAAGTAACATGAAAGAATCACATGAGACTTCACACTATAAAACTGTCAGCTTTTTCTTCACTGTTAGTTTCATGCAGACGTGACTGACTTGCTGGGAAGCAGGTGAAGGTGGTTTCCAGGTATTTGTAGATGCCACGGCAGGGATTAAAGTTACGAACAAGGTTTACGTTCAGTTCACACTCCCTCTTGCCATCACACCTGTGGGAAACACATTCGTAGCTTGTTTTTAGCACAAAGCAAAAGCATGAAAATTAGTGTAGATACTGTGGTAACTTTGATGAATGTCTGAGACTATTTATTCCCTAAACTTTAAATGCAGCTTTTAGTGTATGTGAGATACCACTTGTTTTAATGTACAGTATAACATCAGTTTGATGACTGTTAGAAAATATTTGAGGCTGGGGATTGTATGTATCAAGAGATTCAAACCAGCTCAATTTGATCTTTTGATCTGTCAGATTTACAAAAATAGTCTGCTGTAAAAAAAAAAAAAAAAAAAAAATCCACAATGAAACCAACAACAAAACCCCAAGAATATGTGTCTCAAGGTGCTGAAGAGTTAACAAAGAGATGACATCATCTACTTCATTTGGTTACTGAAAAACCTTTATGATTTGACGTAGCTTTACATTTACTCAAGCATATTATTTAAGTACAATTTTGAGGTACTTATACTTAACTTGAGAATTTCCATTTTATGGTATTATTTAATTCTTACATTGGAAGCAAATATTGCACTTTTTATTTTGACAGTTTGCACATTCAGACTGGTAATGCAAAATATGAAATCAACCACTAAATTATGATGTATGATTATAGATCAGGCTATAAGCTGATGTGCATATAAATGCATCAACGAGTATCCAATAATATAAAATAATATTTATTATTCAGAAATGTGCCATTCTGCATAATGAGAACTTTTACTTTTAGTAACATATATCTTGATACTTTTTATACTTTTACTTGAGTGATGCTATGAATGCAGGACTTTAACATTTAGAATACATGTGATTAAAAAATACCTTCTTCTGAGGACGTCCACTGTACCCTTTTGAGCGCACTGTGTGTTGGCAAGCTGATTCTGAGGTCTTCCCTCACTGCAGGTCTCATTGTCTGCACGCCCATACAGTGCTGCCTGCACAACGATCACTCCAGATTCTGTTACACACCAAGGAGGAAATTAATAAACAATAAAGTTCAGAGGGAGAGTTCTCATCTAAAGAAATCACTATGGGAATCATTAACAATTTTTGTCATTTTGACCGAGCCTAACATTTCCACAGGCATATCTGATGTAAAAAAAAAAGAAAGAAAGAAAGAAAGAAAATAAAAAATCACTCTTCTCATCGTAAAAAAACAACACCATTGTCAATGAAAATCTGTCTGACCAAGCTGCAACCTCTGAGGCTGAGAAATGAAACCAATGCGGGAGTGCAAAAAACTGCAGTTCATTAGATGGCCACTTGAGGCTGGCTCCGAATCACAGTCAATCCCCATAGACAAGCAAGTTGAAATGCCCTATTTTACAGCAGAAACAAACACCGTTATAGTCTGGTACAAAAAACGGTTTTGGTCTCTATGGTCTCTTTGGTGCATTTGAGGCCCAAAGTTATGCGTATCTAAGGGCGAGGCTGCTCTGCTGGAAGGCTGCTGCTGCTTATTCACATTATGTCATTTCGTAAAATAGCTGCAGGTAACGCTGGCTAACTTGCTCAATGTTACAACTTAGCATACACTTAAGCTCATTCCACACATTTGCTTGGTGGCTGGCATGAGCCACTTGTCGTAGTAGCACATTGTAGTAAGCTGCTGGATTGATATTGCAATATCATATCAATAAATTATGTCTCTACTGGATTACTATGCTGTAAAATGGCAAGAATTAATGAAAACGTGTTGTGTGGCAGGAAAAACACTATTATTTAGTTAATTCAGTCACACTGTAAGATTTACAGTGACATATCATCTGGTTTCTCATAGCAACTAGAACTTTACCTTGATTAAAATTACAGATTTCTCTGGGTTTGAACATTGTTAGAATCTTTTGGGATAATGTGAATGCACAACTCAACAAAATATATAAAATAGTAGATTTGAATGTGTAAATGTTACATATTATATTTTCAAATGAGATTAGTCATACCACAGCTCAGGCGCTGGACATTCCCGGAGCTTCCACAGGTGACAACTTTCTCCGTGGAAACAACTACAATAACAGATACCAAACCATAAGTTGAAGTGGGTTGAAGCCACACACTGTATGTAGAAAATAAATGCAGGCATCATCATGATCACATTCACTCAGACATTTACCTGCTGTCATGAGCAAACATGTTGCTGCCAGCACTGAAAAGAAACATCACTGTCAAACTGTGTCAGCCAAACACGAGTAAAAGTTACAAAGTCTTGCTAAAGTCTTTGCCCTGAGTTAAAATGCCACATTAGTAAATTGTAATTGTAAACTCAGATAATCAAACTTAATTCCTAGTTTTACATGAACCCACATAATTATTCTTTCAGTTGTCAGCTGTGTACTCACACAGTGTGGTGCTGAGTCTGTAGCAGAGCATGATGTTAGAAGATCCTGTCTGGCTGAACAGAGGGACTGACGGATGCAGAAACAGAAACACCTGAATCTCTTCTGCCCAGTGAGGAACTGTCTTTGCCTTATATACAAAACAATGGCTTGATCTTGCCCAACTGGCTCCTAACACCACTGTGGAAAAATGTGAACATACAATCAAAACCAGAATGTCTTCATTTAGATTTAACGCTGATGACAGAGGACAATGACTTATACTTTGCTGACTCATGTTGTGGAAATATAAAAAGGTGAGGCATGCAAAAGTCTGTGCAAAAACAAGACAGTTAATTGAAATGACGGAAGTTGGAAGTTATTTAGAAAGTGCATTAGTTCTTGTGTGCTGATGTTGAGATATGATGCACTGACCCTGTTCAGAGGTTTTACCCTGTTTTCCTGCCTGACAACAAATTCTCTCATTCTTGTCTCTGACCCTCAGATTTCTCACACTTTCTTCCTTGAATGAGAGTTCCCTTCCATTTAGAGATATATACACTGTATATATACAATGTGTGTGTCTCTTCCCTCCTCAGGGTGCAGATTACATTTCGATATTGGCTGGGGGACACAGAAACTGGGGGATTGGGGTCGTCCCCCAAGAATTTTTTATGCAACAGTTTTTGCCTTTTCTGCAGCTATTTATGGTTGGAATGTCTTTAAATTCATCAAAATAATGTCCTCTGTTAGTTTCATGTTTTTAATGGGGGGGACAAAGGCACTAAATAAGGTGTTACGCCTATGCTCCTCACAGCACTGCGTGATATGCAGTCGTGCTTGGTTTACAATGTCTTCATCTCTTCATCATCCATGATGTTGGTTCCTGCAAACTGACAAATAAATGAATTGTTGCATTGTTCTTTTTTTTTTTTTTCCTGTGGACTTACTGGAACACTCTGTGGCACCTATTGTTATTTTGTTTTGTCTCTTGACTTCCTGGAAGACCCAGAAAACACCAAACACTGAGAGTCACTGCAGTGGAGCTTTGCTTGTGCAAATGTCTTTTGATTACTGTGAAGTCATCTTTAGCACAAAAGCAAAATAACAATCATAAACTGACAAGACACACGCTGCTGGTTTAATGCATTTTATTTACTACATGTTTGTTGTGATCTTATTGTGACCTCAGTATGTTTGAAGGATCTGCAAAAAACAGATAAACGATTCACTTCAGATAAATACTGTTTAAGTGTGTCTGGTTGCACAAACTGTTGCTGCATGATCATAAACTGCAATTTACAGTCTATTAGCACAGCACATTGTTTCTGAAAACAAAAACCACTCAAACCGCACAAAACTGGAATAGTTATGGATTAATAGAGCCTATTTTTATCATTGCAAAGATAAGCAGTTGGGTTGACAAATCTCTGCATCACAGCTGTTTACCACCACATGCTGTATTCCACATCATGTTTCCCTCTGCACATTTAACCCACAGACAAGCCTCAGTAGCGTAACACAGTGCTAACTGGCCTTCAAGCTACTGATCCTAAATTTCATCAGGCATCCAGCATCCCCGGGCATTCCTGAGCAGTTTTTGCAGTGTGACATGATGCATTGTGTGCCATAGACAAGTGCTGTTGTGAGGGGATGTACTTGGTCTGCAACAATATTTAGGTGGGTGGTGCGTGTCAAGTCACATCCACATAAATGCCAGGACCCAAAGTTTCCCAGCAGAACATGACACTAACATAATGATGACATTTGGGTAACAGCACTTCACACTACACATGAAAGTGGTGCACAAGACATCTGTGCGACTTGCTGGCTGTTACATTTGAACACATGAGGGCAGTATAAGTGTGTTGGATCACAGCTTCAGTCTGATTTATTCCACACTCAGTGCAGAATAAGCAGTGGGTGTTGTTATCACATTATAAGGCATCAAAAGCTAATCAAGCCCACATTATGGGCGCAGGTAGTTTTAATCTGTGCATAATGAAAAGGAAGTGACTTTCTGTAAATTTCACACCAAATGAAAGCTGCAAAACAAAAAAATCATCACTATGCAGCTGACAGCCCCGACAGATCTGAATCAACAGAAAGAAGAAAAACACATTATCCATCTATTACATGTCTTTAAGCCACTTTATACTGTTGTCTCTTTCCTGTTTTGTCTTTACAGATACCTGCAGCTTCTGCAGGGAAAAACAATGTACCCCTGCCTGGTGGATGCAGAGGGACATGTGATCGCATTCGCCCCTATTACCAACAGTAAGAAAACCAAGGTGTGAATTTCTATTTTCTCCCTGGTTATCATACTGTAATCATATCCTCCCAGAAGAGAGGATTTCATATGAAATGCTGTCACACGGTGGAAATGTCCTGTTGTCTTCTCATGATACAATAGTATTGTAATAAGTAATTACATGATCAGCTGATTGTACTTTACAGATCAAGAAGACAACCAAAGAGTTGTTCTTGGAGGTGACGAGTGCAGCCAGCCTGCAGACCTGTAAAGATGTTATGGACGCTCTTATTGTTGTAAGCTTTACTTCTCTCTCTTTTCTCCGTCATTAACGAATGTGTCAAGTTTACTGAGGATTGGAGTTCATTTTCATAGTTTTGGCCGTTGTTTCTATTGGTTACAACATCTTTAAATGAGTCTGGTCCAAGACTAGCTTTTCATGTAAAAACTAAAGGACACCACCCATATTAAATGCTGTGTAACTTGTAGATGTTTTTGGATCATTAATAGTAACTTTATGTAAAACATTTGTGGCGCTCGAGGAAAAGCTTATATAAAGCTCAGTGCTGAGTACATTTTAAAATTTCAGTATGTGAGACGCCGCATCATTATTAGACGCTCTGAGCAACTGATGTTGTATAAGAGCAAAAAATTCTGCATAGTGAGGTGGTCAGGACTTTCACTGAGGAGAACACTGTTCATGTCAAGTGTGAAACCAATATTCAATCTTATTTTAACTATGTAACACAATATGTCAGTGACATATGTCTCTTGACAAATGCACTTCTTTTAACCCGAACCATGATCTTTTTTTAGACCTAAACAAGTAATGTTGTTGCCCAAACCTAATGAAGTCAACCTTCAACCTAAAAACTAAGTAAACCTACACTGACCAGAAACTGACATGCCATCCCTAACATGTCTAAAACTGACGCTTGTGGGGTACCTAGAGCGTCAGTGCACAGGGTCGGTATTTGACGAGTTGGGTGTGAAAATGTGTTGCTTGTTTCTTTATTTCCCCTGCCCCCTTGGCTTTCCTGTTTGGGGTATATTTAATCTTAAGTGTTTATTTTAAACCTACACCTCTAAAACTTGAGGAGTTTTAATCTAATTTTTGCATGGAAAGCATCAAAGAAAACAGACGATCTAAGAAATTAAGTGGTCGATTTTTTTCCAGTGTCTTTGCTACACAGTCTGTTTTGAAACACTGTGAAACACACATTGAAATCACACACGGGCGTTTAAAGTGCATTTCCTGTTTCATTACAGAAAATGGCAGAGTTGAACAAGTTCACAGCAGAGCATCGGGAGGAGGCGGGGTCAGACGGGAAGGGGATGGCCCACAAGAGCCTGCTGCCAGCGGCGAGACCTCCAGCGAACTGATCGTCCAGCAATTTTTGTACTGGAATTACAACTTCTGGGTCCATCAAGTGATGCCCTCCGGCCCCAAAAGATTTTTTCCCCATAAATTTACATTGTGAAAGAGACATCTGAAAATTAGCGGATTTATTTCAACTTGTATGTAACTTGTAAGCTGTATGGGCCAAACTATTCCATATTAATACTCTGGTATATTTCTGTATCCGGAATAGGATTCTGCAGCTATGTTTGACATTTCTTTAGCCAATGAACAAACCGACAAATGTATTAAATCAAATGCATGTTTATTGTGATATGAGTGAATTTCCAGTATGTTAATGATTAATGCACTGGAGGCTGATATGGAATGACCCCAGGATCTGTGAAAGAACAAAATATTAAATTCAGACACATAATTCAAGCAACTGAATTCTTTTTGTTGTAGCAGTGGCTGTTTGAGCAGCAACACTGTGTGGACAGATGTCTGTATCATGCCATTTTCCCCACCACATATTGTGCACCACATATAAGGTCCTTTAAGATACTTACATTCGCATATGTACGCCACCTCCAGGTACTTGTAAGTGCCACTGCAGGGGTCTCCAAACACTGAGTTGCTCACATTGATACTGCACCTGTTTTTCCCATTGCAGCTGTGGAGACAGAGCGACATGAGTGAACCTTTAACCTGAGGTATGAGTTGACAAAGACTGTTTGGTTTGGAGGTCTTGTGGAAAGCATCTTGCAGTTTAATATAGCTGCTTGGTATGGGAATCTGAATGTGAAGCAGAAAAACAAGCTTTCCTCAATTGTGAAAATTGCAGGGAAGGTGGTTGGTAAGCCACAACTTCAATTTGGTGAGTTGATCAATGGGGCAGTTGTCAGGAAGGTCAGACAGTTATCTGGGGATACTTCACACCCCTTACACTCACAGTTTGAACTGCTTCCATCTGGCTGCAGATTCAGAGTCCCGAGGGCGAGCCGGAACATAAATAAGAAATCTTTCATTCCACATGCCATACATGCTCTGAACATAACATGATTGTACCTGCTGTTGCTGTTTTTTTTGTTTGTTTTTTGTTTTTTTCTATTTGCACAACAACTTCACTCAACTTTACTTTTCTTTTCCTTTCTGTTGTGTATCTTGATGAGTGTTCTGGTTTTGTCTTGTGTAGTCTGGAGTCTGGAGAGGCTGAAGACAAATTTCCACTACGGTGGATAATAAAGTTTTATCTCAACTAATCTAATCATAACTGTCGTAAATTCTGCAGATTGCATTTTCTTATTTTTTAAAAGTTTTTCTTGCGTGGCATTTGCATTTATTGGACAGGATAGCTTAAGCATGAAAGGGGAGAGAGAGGAGGTGACATGCAGCATAGAGCTGTGGGCTGGAATCGAACCTGCAGCTGCTGTGGCAAGGATCTTCTCTTTATACATTGGTCGCCTGTTCTGCCCACTGAGATACTGGGCGCCCCAAAGATTGCATTTCCTTGATGCAGAACAACACACACTGTATTCCTTATATTTAGCAAAGGGTGTGCAGCTGTACCTGTCAGCAACTATGGTAGTAGGGCGTGAGCAGTTAGCTGTTAGGATCTGAGAGGTAGGCCGTCCGAAAGAGCAGGTTGTGCGGTCACGGCGTCCATAGTCAGCCCCATACACAAAGATAACCTGTCCTACATCTGTCAGAAAGAGGAGGAACAATTAGAGAGGACAGAGATGAAGTTATGAATTGACCTATGGCTAAGTCCCGCCTTCAGATGCAATGAGCCAATCACAGTGCGTATAGTAATTCCCATACACTCGGACATTCTCTGCCTGGACGTTCATTGAAATGCATTACAGAAACTCAGTTTTGTTCGGTTTTATGAGCTTTTTCGGAGATTTGAAGTTTAAAAATGGTCAAACAGTGTGCATGGGGTACATGCAACTCTGACACAAGGTATCCTGAGAGGCTGGGCGACAAGGTGTATTTTTTACACTTTAAACCACATCTCAACCGAGAAAAGTGTCTCCTTTGGATAAAGTTGTGTGGTAACGTTAGACCACAACATCAACTCAACGTGATTAAGATTAACAATGATGTTTACATCTGTTTTAAGGTAAGTTAACATCGTGTTTGAGGCAACATATTGTCACTTTGCTGGAAAGAAATATAAAGTTATCTTTAACATCTCTAGCTAACGTTAGCTAAAGTTAGCCTAACGTTAGCTCCTAGCTGCGTTGTTCATCATGTCACCTTGTTTGCTGGGAGTTCATTAGCCTATTTTGTTCTAGTTTTGTACTTTGGTGATCGTACATCATTGTTAGCTGTTGTCCAAAGGGCTCTAGTTAAGCTAACGTTAACTTCTGGAGCTTAGCTTCATTAACTTATCTGTAATGGCAGAGATAACAAAGGTTGGCAAACGTTATGCTGAATGATTCAGTGTAAATACTGTAGCACCAAA